GATGTGTGGTGTGACAGTGGCTCCAGGCCCCTCCCGCTCACCGTGAACATCACCGCCCTGCCCCCCTTCACCTCGCACCGTGGCACTCGACTGACTTCTGCACTGCTCAGCTAGGCTGCTGCGTGGGAGTAAGTGGCGTAAGCGACCGTTTGAGCTCTGCGCTCCCCATGCAGCACAGGAATGTGGAGCTCAAACAGGCGTTTGGGCTCTGCGGTCCCCCGAGTGAGAGGCAGGAGGGGGAGGAGAGATGGAGAGAGAGGCAGGAGGTGGAGGAGAGCGGCAGTAAGAGGAGGAGGAAGGGGGAGAGAGAGAGAGAGAGCGAGAGAGCGAGAGCGAGAGACCAAAGGCTCAGGAGTGTAATCCGATGTGGAGGAGAGACTTGAAAATCCTGTCTTATGACGGGCTAATTGGCTAGCTGTTTCAGAAGAGTAGCCCAGTGTCTGAGGGTCTGTAACGCTGAAATGCTGGCTGTTCCCTCTGGGCGGCCCGTGCTGCATGTGGAGTGCAGGGCCCAAACGGCTGCTTGTGCCGCTTGCTCACCCGTGGTGGCCCGGCAGAGCGGCGCAGAAGTCAACCAAGCGCCACGGCAGAAGGGGAAAGGGGGTGGGGCATGGCCATGTACGTCACCGTCTTGCCTCCCTTCGCCTCCTGCCGGGGCGCTCGGCTGACTTCTGCATTGCTCAGCCAGGGCAGCCCCGGGAAGCCCATATGGCAGCCCCGCAGCAGCCGGAGCGCCAGGGTGGGAGACGAAGGGGGGCGAGGCGGTGACATGCGGCATGACAGCGGCTCCAGACCCCACCCCCTGGCCATGAACGTCACTGCCCCCCTTCGCCTCCCACTGTGGCACTCGGCTGACTTCTGCACTGCTCAGCCAGGCCGCCAAATGGGAGCAAATGGTGCAAGCGACCGTTACTTTCTTTCAATACTACATTGAAAAGGGAGTTACTGAGATGTTTTCATTTTCACCAGGTTTTTACAAGAGTAGAGTTAAAGCAACTTAAAGTACTAGTAAAGAGCAATATTAACTCATTTGTCTGGATTGTATTGACAGACTGGAGGCTCAGGAGAGAAAACCAACGTGGAGGAGAGACCTGAAAATCCCGTCTTATGACGGGCTAATTGGCTAGTTGTTTCAGAATACTTTACTAGGCACTCAAAAAGGCACAAGGCCTATGATTTGAGGAAGAAGGCCATACTGGTTAAAAATAAGGATGCAAAAGAGTTGTCGATTTAGTTGACTACCCGATAAACCTGGGCTTATGGTTAGCACATAAGTAAGGACAAGAAGGAGTTTTTTTAGACTATTAAGAACAAAAGAATCCGAACATGGATATTGATCTGTTACTACAGGTTGAACCTCTCTAGTCTGGTACCCTTGGGACCTGACTGGTGCTGAACCACATGAAGCCAATGTTGTCTAGCAGCATTACTAACACTTCCACTGCTTACTGGACTCTTAGAAGACATTTAGGGGTGAATAAGAGTTAAATAACAGCATTCTTTCCATTCCACTAGTATCTTGGGTAAATGGCAGCTACTAAAATTAGACACTTTTAAAGTCAGCATGTCCAGGTAACTTGCACCCAAGAGTTTTAAAAGAGCTGGCTAAGGTGCTCACAGAACCATTGATATTTGTTTGTTTGTTTTTTTTTGTTTTTTTGTTTTGTTTTTTGTAAATCTTGGAACACCGGGGGGAAGTTTCAAAAGACTGAAATAAAGCTGCTAGTATGCCACTCTTTAAAAAGGGTAAACTGTACAACCCAATTAAATGTAGACCTGTCAGTCTGACGTTTAAACTATTTCAGTTTTTTTATGAGATTACAAATATACTTGACCATGATCATAGTGTTGATGTAATGTGCTTAGACTTAGGCCCCATGCTAGTCAAACATTTTTATTAATGAATGAAGGAAAACACAAAATCATAACTGATTAAGATTTGCAAGTGACACACAAATTGAGAGAGTGGTAAATAATGAAGAGGGCAAGTCACTGATTCAGAATGATCTGTATTGCTTGGTAAGTGGGGTGGAAGCAGGTGATTTGAGTTTTATTATGAATAAATATAAACGTATCCATCTAGGAACAAAGAATTCAGGCCATATTAGACAGTTGAGAGATGTTCTATCTTGGAAAGCAATGATTCCAAAAAAGTTTAGGGGGTTACAGTAAATAATCAGCTGATCATGTGCTTCCAAAGTGCAACTCGCTGGCCAAAAGGCTACTTTGATCCTTGGGTGCGTGAACAGGAGAATGTAATGTAAGAGTGGAGATGTTATTTTTATTTTCTGTATATGGAACGGATGGGATTGCTGCTGGAATAGTATATCCAATTCTGATACCCACAGTTCAAGGAAGATATTGAGAAATATGAGAGGGTTCAGGGAAGAGCCATGAGAATGTGCATTGTCTATACTGAATCCCTCCATCATGTCAAGGCAACACAGTGATCATCCTACACACAGGTTTACTTGACTGTCTGGCTCACTGAGAATCTATTTATTGTCAATGGTATCTCAGTAGGATATGCACAACTTACCACACTACGCTACTTTTCTGAGAGGTTTCCTAGGCAATAATGATTTTCCTACCTAAGCTCTCACTGGTAGTCCCTAGTTTAACCCATATAGCTAGGAAGAGGCAACTCCTGGGGAAGGACACAAGTGCTTAACCAGCCATGTGAAACTCCCCTTCCTCCATGCACATGTGGCTCCTCTCCTGTACCACCCCTAGCCTGTGGGAGGTCCATCTCTAAGAAGATGAAGGGTCTGGATCTATTCAATACTTAGATGCAGCCACTACATGAACTGGAAAGGCAACATGGACTTTGAGTGCCTGTAATATGGAGACAACTTTCAAATCTGGTTGCCTACCACCACATATGACCATGCTGCCAAGGTGACCCAGTGTTTGGAGTCAGTGATAAATAACAGCTGGTTGAATTCCTGTCCAATAACTATGTCCTTGCTTGCCATGCAAAACACTCTCAACCTCCTCATCACCTAGCTCAACTAGTTTTGAATTTTGTTACACGTCAGAGACTGAGCAGGCTTATTGAAAGGTCAGCAAAGCTTTAGAGCCAACCTCAATTGGTGAATTGTTTTGCATCAAAATAAAGTAAAATTAAGTTGAAACGTTTGGTATTTTTTTTCTAA